TACAATAGTCAGAAGTTAAACAATTGAAAATTGTGTGAATGATACAGGAAGAAAATTGCTTCATTCAATTGTCGCCTGTCGCTGACAGTTAAAAGTTGAAAAAGCAGCGGAGTTTAGAATACAGACGTAAAAGTGATACATCTACTCGTTGGGCATTCTTTTCCAACGACTGACGATGGTGAACTAAGTATATCTGGTTTGTCAATGGGCGATATACTTCGTGTATCAGCATGGTTTTTTCTTCGGCTTCTTTTACTTTTCGTTATTTACATCTAAGCAAAATGGAATATTGTTTATGAGAAGCTAGTGAAAAAGTAGAAATTTCTTTTTTTTTGTTTTTGACAATCATTTTCCTAATGAGCTTTTGCCTTCTTTTAACCTTATACATAGAGGGATAATAAACAAACATTTATTTAAGTCCTTCGCTTTTCACTTTTAATAGAACAGCTTGACATTCAATTTTTCAACATTGTCAAACATGTTTTTGGCCTAGATATAAGCAGTTGACGCTTATTGAAGTTTTGTTTCCGTCAACTTGGAGATGTTGTTGTCGATGGTACCGGGAACGATGCGAAGAAGCTGCCCAAAAACACATCGCAGATTCTGCAAAATATTATCCCGCAGATGCAGTTGATATCATACGGACAGAATGATGTATAACTGTAGCTTAATCTGGCCGCTAATCCGATGTTGAATTAATTCATGGTATGGTAGAAAGAATAAATAAATAAAAAAAAAAAACATTAGAATTTGATTAACAAATATTAGTCAATGATGTTTTTGTCGGGAAGTTTTTTTTTTCTTGTTTGGCAGGAGCTGTGTTAGATCTTTTCCTGTTTTTTTTGCTGTTCTTCACAAAGTGATAATTGCCATTTGATGTAAGTTGTTGAGTAAAAATTCTCTCCCACAGACATACATTATGTATATCATATAGATTTCAAATATTTGGCTTTAATAAGAAAACTGATATTCCTCTCAATATAAACGAGGAAAAAAATAATTCAAGCATAAATTATGTGTGAATGACAACGGAACTTCTGCAGCTTAGGATCTAATCAAAAATTTGCCTATATAAGCTGAAGTGGTGTTGCTGAAGTTGTCAGTGCAAAAGAATTTCTTCACCGGATTATTAGTCTTCAAACAGCGGCTTTCAGAATGACTGGTAAAATAATTTTTTTCTTTTTTGTTTTTACTGGTAAAAAAAGAAAAAAAAATCAAATTCATTCCTGTGTAAAATTTCACCTGTTACTGTCTATCTATTTTAGTTTAGCTTAGATGACTGTATTTTTAGCATTGCTCAATGAAATTAAAAGTCGTCAAATGGAATTTATGAAAGCTTTTAATAGCGGTAATACCAGTGCAGCTGTATCGCTGTATGAACCCGATGCATATATGATGCCGTTTTATAAAGAACCTGTTAAAGGCAGATCCGGTAACCAATATTTTACAGTTAACAGTTCGTTACTGTTTATTATTTTGACTGATAGAATATTTTCAGAACCTTCTAAACTTGTTAATGTTTCAGGTATTGAAGCATATTTTAAACAGGATATCGCAGAAGGCGTACGAAATGTTCAAGTAAAGCAGTATCTTGTTTTATTATTTTCATCGTTGTAATACACTTATCAAAAATACAACAGTTTTTTGATTCTGTGAAATCAGAAGCAGACGTTTAGAATTAGTGTTAGAATATTTTTTTTGCTGTTGATTACTCTGAATTTATATAGAATCTATACGCATCGCGCATAATGAGCGATACATGAGTAACATGTATGAGTTTCTATCTTAGAAATCTATTTGGATTACCTAATAAAGTTTCTAAGCAATGAATAATTTATTGTTGTGTATTGCTAAAAAAACATTGTTTTTTATTCATCTCTTGTTAGACATAATTAAAGCATAACAGCTTATTATCCTGAGTGTTTGTTTACCGGATACTTGAAAACATTTTTCTTCCAAAAGGGAGAAGGAGGAGGCGGAGGTGGAAATAAAAAACCAGTGATTTATAATTTTTATAAAAGCAATTTTTTTTAGTATTTGTTCTCTCTAGATTGAAGAATGCATTTAAGTTAAGAGATTGAATTAACTGCAGGTAATCACCGAAGATGTATGCGGTAATGGTGACTGGGCTTATGAACGTGGAAGCTATCAATTGGACGGTTCACTGGGTCCAGAGACTGGAGCTTATCTGTTGGTATGGAAGAAAAGTGGTGGTCAATGGTATATTCACGCAGACTGCACAAATGTCATAAAGCCAGCTAAACAGTAAAACAAAACAAAAAAAAAGAAAGAAAAAACATCGTCTTCGTTTCCTTTCTATTATCGTTTTTTTCTTCTGCTCCTTTTTCAAGTTTGCATGAATCTTATCTATCGCGCATTCGAAATAATCAGATGGTTCAGTATGATCAGACAAACCTCAGTTCTGTTGGTTTTCATGCTTATTTTTTTATGCAAATAAAAACTCTGGCTTGAAAACTTTTTACCTTTTTTGATGCAGTGTAAAATGGTAAAAAGAAAGAAAAGAAAGCAGTATTTCTGTATCTGAGGTTTTTAGATCTGTAGCAGTCGTTTCAGTCAATTGAAAACTGCAGTTTAAATTTTGAACCACAAATAAATTAATTCGACTGAAACGCCTAACAGACATAAGTGATCTCAGGAAATTTTTATTTTAATAGAGCTTTTTGAGACTGCTATCCTCCTCAACAACAGCAAATTGATTATTAGCGTTCAGTAAACCATCAGAGATCGGCATTTTTGACAGACGGATACAGCTCTATATATTCTCCGGTTCAATATCATTTATTGATTTCAATAAAAGGTTCAATTTTAGTAAAAAAATTTCAAATAAGTAGAATTTTTAGGAAAAACTGGATTGCTTGCAAATTTAAACTATTTTTAGTTTTTTTTTACTACTTGCTAAAAAACCGGAGCACTTTCTGCATACAGCTGCAACATATACCGCAAACTTATGAATATAAAATAATAAAAAATTTAGCAGAAAACTTGTTTAATTTTTTTTCAAAAACTCTTAAAGCCAACATTTTATTTCTGCGCTGAACACCGATGATAACAGATGTAAGAAAAAAAGTTTCTTCGGTCTTTCGAAAATTTCTATTGACAGCAAAAAAAATTCTTCTTATTAATCTATAGAAACTGCAGAAGTGATTTGTGGTTCTTTTAAATATCCTGTTTACAGTGAAGGAAAATTTCAGTGCTTTTTGAAAGCTTCCATCAGATTATCATTGCAATAAAGAAAAAAAACACTTTTGTTAATCTAATAAATAGCGGCAATTTTTTGAAGACAGGAACTATTATCGCTAGTCTTAGACACTTAACTAAGTAGGTTTTTCAAATAATTATTTGTATAGCGTTTGTAGAGTAAAACATTAAAATTTCTCAGCGGTATAAACAGTTTTCAGATTTATCAATCAAAGTTTTTCGATCAAAAAGAAAAAAAAAACAGAAACAAAGATAGATAGCCAACTAACGCAAAGAACATCTCGAAACTTTCTACAGTTTCTGAAAAATTTTAGATACTTTATTTTTCAGACATACAGCAGTTCTCTACCTTTTTTTGAATTAATGGCTTCCTGTTTACTTGAATAAACTAAGTACCGATACATGCCATTGAAGCATTTTTGGCTGTTGATCAGACTCGGTAATATATTCCGACAAACGAGGAGATAGAACGGATAAAGTTCCGTAGATGCAGATGCAAAATTGTTGCTCAAGCATAGTGTAATAGGATGCAGAGATTCGCAAAAAAGGGGTAGATTATATACGGTTAAAGAAACGCTGCATTGTAAGTAGAAGGCTCTTATCTAGAATTCACAACGGTTTTGAACACTGATGTTCAATAAAGATTTTGCGACTAAATAATAGCAAATTTTTTGAATATCGCCTGATGCAAGTAAATTAAACTTGGATCTGTTAACAGAAATAACTCGGTCAACTGGCTTAAGATGAATTGACCGATAAGACCCATATCTTTCATTTAATTTATAGTGAAAGTAACAAGCATTGCTAACGTTGCCAGTCAGTTTAAAGTGTTTTACCGAAATTAAAGACACTTTCTGAATCTTATACCTTTCGTCTAAAACAACAAAACACTCAAATTTAATAAATTCTTTTATATCCTCCTGCAACAGACTGACAATTTGAACTTCTTTTACAAGAGTATTTCGTGACCGTTACAATATTTCTAGCACAGTGATACATCATTAACTGAAAATAACAAAAAAAAAAAAAAAAAATCTGCAAAATTTTTTCAAAACTAAGTGTTCTTGTGTATTCTCATTATTTGTAGCTATCCAACAGATCCAATATATGATTAGTTACGTTAATTCAGGTGTATAACGTTCAAAAAAAAAAAATTATCTGTTATCATCACAACTCTGAGAGAGCTTATCGATGCTTTCTTGTTGTTTACTTCTATTTAGAATCAATTTTATGTAACTAATTTGTGATTGCAGACGCCAAATTCATTTAATTGAATTTACACATTTATTTTAGTCCACAGTGTACAAAAGTTTTTGTTATACACTTTTTTTGAGTAGTTAAAAGTTTTCAAGTTATTGATGCAAAAAAAAAGTTCATAGTAAGATAAAAAAATAAGATAATTATATATATATATATATATATATATA